CTTACCTGCCCGCCTCCCATGGCCAACATTCGCATTCTCCTGGGAGAGGAAGGGAAAGAAACCGACGAAGGTGATAAATGGTCCAGAAACGGGGGAAGAGGAGGAGCCAGAAGGGCAGGGCGAGGGACACAGTATAGGGGAAAGTTTGGTACGGCTCAGCTGGAAGACCCCACAATACAGAACGCAAGACAGAATGTCAAGGTAATAGATGGCATTCCTATACATCCGGCTAATGTACTCACTTTTCCTAATTTTTTCCATGAGAAATAATCTATTATACCAGGTCACGAAGTCCAATGACGTTATGGTGGAGCAGCTGTTGGTTCCAAACCCGTTTAGGCTAACAGTGCTGAACCTGGCCCATAGCCACCTGTTGGGAGGACATTTACGGAGAGAAAAAACACGAGCGGGTGTTACAACATTTCTTCTGGGCGGGGGTGTATACAGATGTGGTAAGGTAATGCCAGGGGTGTCCTGACTGTCAGAGAACCTCACCCCTTCCTGATTTACGAAATCCCTTAATCCCGTTGCCGGTGATAGACACACCCTTCGATAGAATTGCTATGGATTTAATTGGACCATTGCCACGGTCTGCGAAAGGTTTTCAACATATACTGGTTGTGGTAGATTATGCCACCAGGTATCCCGAGGCCAAACCCCTGCATAGTGCTAACACCAGGAGCATCTCCAGACAGCTGTTACAGATGTTCTCCAGGGTGGGTTTACCCAGCGAAATCCTGACGGACCAAGGCATGATTATGATTTTTCAAGAACTCTACCAAAGCCTGGTCATAAAAATAGGTTTAACCCTTTACTTGAACTTGTGTTGTGTGGTTGTGTGTGTAAACCTTGCCTTGTAAAGAACTCGGCTCCGAAACCGCTACAGTACTCAAAGTGCATCATCTCAAAAGTTAGAATAATTCACTTAGGGGCCAATTCAGACTTAGGAATTTACACCTTTCCTACGCACGCCTTTCATACGCACTTCTCAGTATTTGGTATTCAGACTTACCTTATTCAGTCGCGTAATGCGCTCTGCAGGTGGGGCTACCTTGCGTGTTCTGAATACATTTAATTCAACCACTGAAAACCCTCCCACTTGCTGGCCGACAGATTTTCTCGTGGACTTTTCAGTCAATAGGTTTTTCAATGTATCTTAAGCCATCCCTTTAAAGCTGCTATATGCAACTTTTTGGGCGAACCGACCAAATTCACATAGAAATGGGAGTTATAGATCTATCATTGTCATTGAATAAAAGTCTAAGAAGCGGTAGATCTGGTCTATGTGCTCTATTTCTATGCTTCCCATTCTTAAGTTTTGTTTTTGCGTCTTTTACTTTCGGTTTTGTACACCAGTCGCAAACATCTGAAAATACAATATTTTTGGTTATGGAAAATGTATTTCACAGCGGTTTCGATGGTACAATGATTCTCTACACTATACTTGCCCCTCCAAGCTCATCACCAAGCTTAGGACTCTAGGTCTGAACACGTCCCTCTGCACTGGATCCTGGACTTCCTGATGGGCCGACCCCAGGTGATGAAGGTAGGCAACATCACCTCTGCCACACTGACCCTTAACACAGGGACCCCACAGGGGTGTGTGCTTAGTCCCCTCATGTCCTCCCTGTTCATCCACGACTGTGTGGCTACGCACGATTCCAACGCCATTATCAAGTTCGCTGACGACAAGCAATCACACACGCACCGTTGTGAAGGTGCAACAGTGCCTCTTCCCCCTCAGGAGGTTGAAAAGTTTTGCATGGGCCCTCAAATCCTGAAAAGGTTCTACAACTGTACCATTGAGAGCATATTGACTGGCCGCATCACTGCTTGGTATGGCAATAGCACCGCCCTCGATCGCATGGCGCTACAGAGGCTTGTGTGGACAGCCCAGTACATCACTGGGGCCGAGCTCCCTGCCATCCAGGACCTCTATATCAGGCAGTGTGAAAAGAAGGCCCAGAAGATTGTCAAAGACTCCAACCACCCAATCAATAGACAATTTTTCTCTGCTGCCGCACGGCAAGAGGTACCGGTGCATCAAGTCTGACACCAACAGGCTCTTGAACAGCTTCTATCCCCAAGCAATACAACTGCTAAATAGCTAACAAAATAGCTACAAGGACTATCTGAGTTTATCTTGTATGTATATTGACCTTTTATTTCAATATTTGTCTCTATGCACGTTCACAGGGCCCTACACACTCACACACAACACACACAAACACAACCTCCATCAATTTCTCACTCACACATAATATGCACATACATTTATACTGACTATACACCCACTCACATACAAGCTGTTGCTACTCTGTTTATCTAATATCCTGTTGCCTAGTCCCTTTACCCCTATACATATCGACCTCCATCACTCCAGTATCCCTGCATATGTAAATATGGTATTGGACCTGACTTTTTAAATGTTTCCTGTATAAAGCATGCTTACTTACTTACTTATTACTTCATTGTGTATTTCATATTTCGTTTTCTTATTTCTTGTTATTTTTCGAATAATACAATATTGCATTGTTGGGTTTTGAGTTTGCAAGAAAGGCATTTCACTGTACTTGTGCATGTGACATTAAAACTTGAAACTTGTTTTGTCAATAAACTGAAATTAGGCAAATTATTAGAATTTTTGCAACCAGGAAATGGTGGAGCGATTTCGGCATAGTGCTCTTTTAAATATGGTGTACCTTTTTAGTTTGAATTTTGTCGACAGACTCACTAGAATATTTCGAGAGAATGGGTTCAGAATATTAGGGATCAATGAAAGAAAGCCATCTAAATATATACATACTGTAAAACTTCCATTAATCACTGAACACAACAGGCCCTTATTAGAGACAGGCTTTTTTTTTAGCCAGTTGTCTATTTCCTTAATGCACACAGCTTTTAATCATTTGCATAGTTCATTGTTTAATTCCAGCATTCACTTTCAGCATTTTAATCAATTTCTTCATTTCCTGCATTAATGTGTTATCATTTACACACTGTGTCACGTTTATTTTGTCATAGTATGCCTCTCTCTATATATACAGTGCATTTGGAAAGTATTCAGACCCCTTGACAATTTCCACATTTTGTTACGTTACAGCCTTATTCTAAAATTGATAAAATAATTTTTTCCCTCATCAATCTACGCACAATACCCCATAATAACAAAGCGAAAACAGGTTTTTAGAAAAGATTGCAAATGTATACCATTTTTAAAACAGAAATACCTTATGTAAATAAGTATTTAGACCGTTTGCTATGAGATGCGAAATTGAGCTCAGGTGCATCCTGTTTCCATTGATCATCCTTGAGATGTTTCTACAACTTGATTGGAGTCCCCCTGTGGTAAATTCAATGAATTGACCTCATGATTTGGAAAGACTATATAAGGTCCCATAGTTGACAGTGCATGTCAGAGCAAAAACCAAGCCATGAGGTCGAAGGAATTGTCCGTACAGCTCAGAGACAGGATCGTGTCGAGGCACATATCTGGGGAGGGGTACCAAAATATTACTGCAGCTTTGAAGGTCCCCAAGAACACAGTGGCTTCCATCATTCTTAAAAGGAAGGAGTTTGTTACCACCAAGACTTTTCCTAGAGCTGGCCGCCCGGCCAAACTGAGCAATGAGGGGAGAAGGGCCTTGGTCAGGGAGGTGACCAAGAACCTGATGGTCACTCTGACAGAGCTCCAGAGTTCCTCTGTGGAGATGTGAGAACCTTCCAGAAGGACAACCATCTCTGCAGCACTCCACCAATCAGGCCTTTATGGGTAGAGTGGCCAGACGGAAGCCACTCCTCAGTAAAAGGCACATGACAGCCTGCTTGGAGTTTGCAAGCAACTAAAGCCTGCTTGGAGTTTGCAAGCAACTAAAGACTCTCAGACCATGAGAAACAAGATTCTCTGGTCTGATGAAACCAAGATTGAACTCTTTGGCCTGAATGCCAAGCGTCACGTCTGGAGGAAACCTTGCACCATCCCTACGGTGAAGCATGGTGGTGGCAGCATCATGCTGTGGGGATGTTTTTCAGCGACTGGGAGACTAGTCAGGATTTAGGGAAAGATTAACCGAGCAAAGTACAGAGAGATCCTTGATGAAAACCTGCTCCAGAGCGCTCAGGAACTCAGACTGGGGTGAAGGTTCGTCTTCCAACAGGACAACGACCCTAAGCACACAGCCAAGACAACAAGTCTCTCAGCCAGAGCCCGGACTTGAACCCGATCGAACATCTCTGGAGAGACCTGAAAATAGTCATGGTAACTCATGGTAACCTCATAAACAATTAATTTAAACCCAGCTTCTATTTGAAACAGCCGTTTATTTGATGAAATATGTGCCATTTAGGCGGCTATTTGAGACTCAGCGTTTAATGGAAGTTTTACAGCATTCGTCTCCGTTTCAGCACCAATTGGTATATTTAAAAATACTATGATCTTGTAGATTATTTAGTTTTAGGAAAGTATTTATGAATCATTAAAAAAAACAGGTTTGGTGAGTCTTTAGGCACAAAATAATAAAAACGGTGGTTTGAATCATTCTGAAATTGCCACATTCAGTTCTTCAACCCATGGTAATGTTGGAAGATTAGTGTACATAGAATTATAATAGGGAGAATAGTGTACAATAGTAGGTTTTACCCTCGTCTATTGCCTGCATTAACCATGGAACTGTGTGATGACACGGCCATGCCTCAGGTACAAACTGTTATGGCTTGGTCTGCGCGCCGCTCCATAACGATTTAATTAGCCTACATGTCTTTTAGCTCTTGTCAATAGCTCAAGTTGTAATTTACAATGCATGGAGAATGGTGTCATTTCCATCTGAAAAAATATAGTAGATGCTTTTTCCAACTGGTAGGTTCGCTAGACTTTATTCATGGTTTCCTCGCGCATAAAGATGGTTGAATTATTACAGCATATCTGTAGACACACCTCCGCCACACCTTCATTTATATGATCTCCACCCCAAACGAATAGTGGGTGAATAGCATTATATTCTCATGCTTAAATTCAAGGTCAGAATGCACATAGAGAGAAAAGTAGATATAAAGGGAACTACGTTCCATTTACTCGCGCTTAACTCAGGTGTTACTGTAGAGATATCCTTAATAGAAAAAACAAGCTTAGAGAAATATTAACAGATTCACACAAAATGGCAGAGCAATGAACCCAAACTTTAAACATACAATCCAGTTATGCAAAACAATTAAGTCAAAGCTCAGCTCACATTTACAGTTTGCAAATACAATTTTGCTAAAAAAAAAGTAGGAATGTTGAAATATTACAGAAGCAGGCCTCACAGTATGATCTGTCCATATCACATCTTGTCAATCATAAAGTATTCTGGCACATTCTGACTGAAATGTCCTCCATTTCTTCTGAAGTTATTTGCTTGTTGTTATTCACTTGTCTTGGTGTCTTTATCTGTGGTTTATGTTAAATAGTATGAGACATTCCTATATATTCATTTGATGTTGTCTTGATGATGACAGCTTCAGAATGTTCTGGAATAAAGACTGAGGGTGTGAGGGAGCTGTGTAGAGGTGTATTGTTGACATCACTAGTACAATGGGGTAAAGCAAGACATCAGAGGACTGCGAATCTGGCACATTATAGTATATATTAAAAAGAGCTGAGGCCAGAGCTACACTGCATAAAGCTGCCAGGTGATGTAGACTATCAGTCTGGTCTCTTCTGCTGACTCCCAACATTTTCGCTTGTACTAAATAACTTCCAGTCATCCATTGACTGATTGATAGTTTGTTATTAAAAACGTAAATGTACACTTGTTTGTCTGTGTCCTGGAGACAAGGAGGCAAGGAACTCTGAGAAATCGCTGTCCCTTTGCCCATTCGCAGCCCTTCTCCTCTCCAAATGACTATGTCCGGTCTTAGAAGTCGGATGGTCGGATCATCATGACTGTCGAACGAAGCGAATAGCTCGGTCCCCGAAAGTGATGCCACTTGATGCCGTTCAGCTTGCGGATGTTGTGGCCCACGGTGTAGTAAATGCCGTTGAGGTTGGACAAGCCACAAGCGTCAAACCACCAACCTAAAGAACAGAGAGAGTGGGTGGGTTATAGCAGGATGGACTCAGGGAATTATGTCTTCGCGTTAGCAAAATGGTAACAGCAATTAAAGTGAAACTGACACTTGTGAACAGCTTTTCACACAGTCCATTAGCCTCAATTCATCCCTTTTTCCCCCTTTTCCAACCAAATTCTTTCTCTCTCAGCAAATGTGGTGTTTTGACTCGTGGTAGTGGTGTGCTAACCTGCTGTGCATAAGGTGCTTATTCCATTTCAAAGCAAACAGGGACCTTGCTATGAGAACCACACTCGCGCCTCAGAGAGATACTGCAAATTCATCTCGTATCAATCTAATATCACTTCACCTCTGTTTGCTTTGGATGGCATGTGTCAAGAGGTTCTATCCATAAGTGGTTTGATTATGCATGACTATACAAACAGTTTGAAACATTTTGAAAGGGGTTCCAGCTGTGCTGGAGCGATTAACTTAAGCAACTTTCATAATCAATCAAAGTTTTAGTATTAAAAAGCTATTTATCTGGGAGTTTCCCTCTCTCCTCAGCTGTAGAATAAATAGACTTGATTGGGGACTATGTATGACTGAGGGAATGGTTTGAGGCGTGATGTGTTTTACATAGCACTTAGGAGATAGGAGCTGGAATGCTTGTATCTGGTGAAGATCACAGAAATTGCGTTAATGCCTTGTCTTGTTGTCTTTAGCTCTGTGCCTAGAGTCAAGACCCAATAGGCAAAAACGGATTGAATCAACGTTGTTTCCATGTCCTTTTTTATATATTTTTTTATATGGGATGATGTTGAATCAACGTGGAAAACTGATTGGATTTGCAATAATTCATCAACGTATTAGAACTTCAGATTTTTTTCACCCAACTTTGAACCTAAATCCAATGACAGGGTGAACCTTTTGGTTGATTTCACATTGAATTGACTTTAGTTGACAACTCAACCCAAATTAAATCAAAACTAGACATTGAAATGACATATGTACCCAGTTGGGAGAGTCAAGAAGAGAGTAAGCCATTCAGATTGAAACTGATGTAGGGAGTACAATAGGTTTATCAGGGTGTTACACAAAAAGCTCAGGAATCTCAGAGTAAAATACAATGATCTGTAACCCTTTCAATCAGTATTTGACCAATACTATAGTACCACAAACAAAATAATAATATACAAACACATTTTTTCTTTTTTGTATGTAGGTATTTACAGTGGGTCCGAAATTATTGACACCCTTGATAAAGATGAGCAGAAATGTACTCTCAATAAAATTAAGAAATATATTATTTTATGCTAACTAAGTAAAAAATATATATACAAAAAATGTAGGGGTTAAAATTAACACCCCTGTTTTCTATAATAACTTTCAATAACTAACCTGGCGAGGATAACGGCACTGAACCTTTTTTATGAGATTGGAGAATACATTGGGCCAAAAGAGCTCTATTTTCATGCCATCTTACCATAGCACCGGTTCCAATCCAAGTGCCAATGCCGTTTAGCAAACTCCAGGCGTTTACATTTGTTGGATGACATGAAAATAGAGTTCTTTGGCCATGCACACAAGTGGTGGGATTGGCGTTGAAAAGAGGAATCATATGCAGAAAAGAACCCCATACCTACTGTAAAATATGGTGGTGGATCTTTGATGTTATGGGGCTATTTTGCTTCCTCTGATCCTTGGGCCCTTGTTAAGGTCAACGGAATCATGAACTTTAAAAAGCCTGGTTGCCTCTGCCAGGAGGCTGAAACTTGGCCGCAAGTGGATCTTCCAGCAAGACAATAACCCCAAGCACACATCAAAATCCACAAAGAAATGGTTAATTGACAACAAAATCAACATTTTGCAATGGCCATCTATGTCTCCGGACTTGAATGCCATTGAAAACCTGTGGTTTGAATTGAAGAGGGCAGTCCATAAGCGCAGACAAAGAATATCAAGGATCTGGAACAATTATGTATGGATGAATAGTCTAATATCACTCCCAATGTGTTCTCCAATATGATAAAACATTTTAGAAAAAGGCTCACTGCCATTATCCTCACCAGGTGAGGTATTGAAAGGTATTGAAAATAGGGGTGTCAATATTCTTGTCCCCTACCTTTTTGAGAAAAAAATATATTGCTTGGTAAACTAAATCTATTTTTCTGAGGAATTGTATTAGTATAAAATAATATAATTTCCCATTTTTTTCATACAATATAGCTCAGTATTTGAATTATTTATTATACACAGTAATTTTTGCTAATCTTTATCAAGGGTGTCAATAATTTCAGAGCCCATTGTATATGTGACACCAAGGTACTTAACAATGAAAATGATTAACTTTACTTGAGCTTATACTGTGTTTTTCTTGTCATAACACTGCTGCAAGGTCAACATAATACGTGTCACAACACGTCATAAAAAACTGATGGCATGTTATGACATCTTGACACCCACGTACTTTGCTGAAAACAAAAACATGTGTATATATTTATGCCACGATAGCTATGTTATTAATTTGCCAGAGTGAGAAGTCATACTGGCAGCATGCCTCAAGTCAGCTAGCTGTATGAAAAGGGGTTACTGCTTGCATGTCACATCACATAAAGCCCTAAATTCCCTCATGGAGGAGAAGTTCTAACCCTTACCCCCCGTCAGCATGAGGGCACACTTGCACAGGCAGTTGTCGTTGTCAGCGTCGCGGGTGCTGAAGCTGGAGCCATGCGCTGCCAGGCTGCTCTGCTCTCCTGCTGTTCCACTGTAGCCCCACAGGAACAGCCTGCAGATGGGAAAATCAGCTTGTCTGGGACTGATGGATTTCTGATGCCAAAATCACATTTTGAATTCATTCCATACAAGAAAATAGCTATGAGATAATATTGTGAGGAAAGTTGAAGCAAAAGGGGAACACTGTAGACTTTTTTTCTATACTGGCAGCCTAGCTCTGGCTTACATGCTTTATTTGTTGTGGTCCATTGAGTCGGATAAAAGAAATGACCACATCGACATTGTGACTCAGTGTTACTCGGGGTTCAGGCATTTGTCACCACACACCTCATCACAAACCCCTGACCTCAAACAAAGTGAAGCAGACAAACTTCAAGGCTTTGCATGCCACTTCACCAGTCAGCCAGTTGGATCAAGTCCTTACCATGCGTCTTGTAGGACCACAGCCGCAGGAAGTAGTTTGGGAGTGGGGGGTCCTGCGATTTTTTTCCAGGGGGGATGCAGGAAGAAAAACGTCTATATTGGTCCGCTAATACACGACCACTAAAGACATAAGCCACTACTTTTGTGAAAACATTTCAACCAAATATATTTGAGTGTTTACCAGCATTTGTAGCTTGAGAATGATCCGTATTGACTGACCTTCATGTCTTAAAGTAATGATGGACTGTCGTTTCTCTTTGCTTATTTGAGCTGTTCTTGCCATAATATGGACTTGGTCTTTTACCAAATAGGGCTATCTTCTGTATACCCCCCTACCTTGTCTCAACACAACTGATTGGCTCAAATGCATTAAGAAGGAAAGATATTCTACAAATTAACTTTTAAGAAGGCACACCTGTTAATTGAAATGCATTCCAGGTGACTACCTCATGAAGCTGGTTGAGAGAATGCCAAGAGTGTGCAAAGCTGTCATCAAGGCAAAGGGTGGCTATTTGAAGAATCTCAAATATAAAATATATTTTGATTTGTTTAACACTTTTTTGGTTACTACATGATTCCATATGTGTTATTTCATAGTTTTGATGTCTTCACTATTATTCTATAAGGTAGAAAATAGTAAAAATAAAGAAAAACCCTTAAATGAGTAGGTGTTCTAAAACTTTTGACCAGTAGTGTATGTTTTCCAGTACTTTGAAAATGCAACTTATTTCTCTGTGAAAACTGAAATGGTCTATTCATTCCCTTTCCATTTTAGTAGACGCTCTTATTCAGAGCAACTTACAGTAGTGAGTGCATACATTTTCGTACTGGTCCCCCATGGGAAAAAACCCCCACAACCCTAGCATTGCAAGCGTCATGCTCTACCAACTGAGCCACATCATCTCATCATCAAAACCACTTGATGTCTCAATGTACTCAATTACTGTAGTGTGCATTGTTTTTCTTCATGGTGATGGAAAGTCTACAGGTACAAACCTAGATGACCAGCCTATGTACAATACAGTAACGTACATTTACGTTAAGTGGTTTGTAAGGATGGTAAATTAATACTGCACAAAAAGTGTTTTTTTCCCATGTTGTTTGATCAATACATGTTTTTAATTTGATGTGGATGTTTTGTGTCAATGCCCATAACTTTGTACCTTTTGATGTGTTTGAGGACAGGGTTTTGTTCTTTCTGGATTCCATTAGAATGACAATCGCAGAGAAAGGGACAGGGCAACAACATTTACAATTCCAACTATTGAATCCTGCAAGATACTGTTCTATCGGTCCACTAATACTAGTAAAAGCCCAGTGCACTACTTTTGTGAAAACTATATAGCACCCTCAGAACCCCTACTTCCCACGGCTATGCACAGGACAATTAAAAATAGTGTTCAGCCATGAAAAATACTTTTAGAAAGAGCTAAGTTTTCAGTATGGATATGGTGAAGTCATAAGGTAGAGTACCTATATTGTTGTTTCTCACTGGCCAGTTGGAACTTGTCGTAGTGGGAGTAGGGTGTGTTCCCCTCCCAGTCTCTCAGCTCCACTCTCAGGGCGTACTGGGTCTGACTCGTCATCTGAAACACCAGCTCGTTCCCAAGCCAGTGCTCTCCCGCAGGGTCCCCGAAACCCTACAGACAAACATCTGATGATCACACCATTACACAAGGGCAAGAGTCATCTTACATCTGTATTTTAAGTTCAAGTAGTCCATGTTTGATGTTTTCTCAGCTCTTGGCATCTGAACTGGTCTGCCAATGGATGAATAGGTGTCCAAGCTATCCAATGGATGAATGGGAAAACATTTTACACAGGGCTTTATTGGGACAAGAACATTATTCTCAGCACCTGCACAACAAATCTAACAACACAGGCAGATCCAGTACAGTAACATCCCATACATCAGCTGTACATTCCAAAGATGGATGATGCCAGGAGTACCCACCATTTTGTATTCCTTCCATGTTCTCTGGAAGTCCACACTGCCGTTGACCCTGCGCTGGAACAATGTCCAGCCTCCTCCACTAGTCTCCATGTCACAAAACACCTGGTGAAACAATAACTAAAATCTAGTTGTTGCACTCAGCAACGATAGAGGCACCACTCAGAAAACGTTGATTTATCAGCTGTGCTTGGAAAAACTTGACAAGAGAAAGTTGACAACTTAAGAGTTGGATTGAAACATGCAGTATACTCAGTATGGATCGTGAGGATGATGACAGTGCTATTTATTCACCTGGGTGGGTTCTGTCATGTTACCAATGAATATGTAGTAGACTCCACTGATGTTGTGTCCTGCTTTATAGGCTTCTGCACAATCCCAAAACCTCTGGTCCCTCAGCAATGTCCCTGCACACACACACACACACATTTTGAAACAAAGCCTCAAATAACTGTTCTGTTTCAAATCTACAAAGGGTAGACAAACATTTTGATGTACAACACCTTATCAGTGTTTATGTACTAAAACTAGGCCTATCCAATAAATCGCATTAATGGTATCACTTACAGTTCATAAACATAAATGTACACTTTGACATAGCATTGTTTTCTCAGGTTTATGCCTTTGAGGTATGGTTCGTTGGATTCCTCTCTTTGAGTGATCCTGTGTTTCCACTGTCTCTGAGTGGTTTATCTCCATCCTATGACGATAATCGAAAGCAGTCTCATTTGAGTTGGGAATGTCTCCATAAACAGATGCTGACGTCCTACTCAGGCAAGATGTCGATTTGGAAGTTCAAATGGGAGTTATCGAAGTGTGTGGTTCTGAAGCATGTGAAGTGAATCCAAGACTTGACTCAACACAGCCAAAAACATAATGAAGACAGCTCCCAACCATCTCCTCTCTCTCTCTCTGTATCATTAATGACTGGATGTCATTAAGACCGCACAACACCTATGATCTCCGCACCCATTTTTCCAGAATGTTTATCTGAATTTATCAATGTGCAATGGTTCCCAAACTTGTACGCATTGTGGCCCACCCAAAGTCTTTACATTTTCTTGTTGACCTATCAAACAAACAAGCCACGTCTTTAGCTCCAACCCAGCCTTAAGATGTGACTCTAGAGAGGAACTGGCTCTGATCCATCAGTGGATTATATTTCTCCAGAAGGGACCTAGGTGTTGATGTTTGATCATGTTTGATCTTTGCATTGTCTTCAATGTGTGCACTAATGGTTGGTTCACAGCATGTCTATCGACTGTCTGTCTGTAGACAGTTGTCGAAACGACATTATGAACATTCTATCTATCTGGAGTTAGACACTGGAGTGTATTGGATTTGAATTGACACTTCAACAGAGTGCCGGAATCTGGTTGAGTTATAACACTCTACTCCCGTGGCCTTCTTTCCCGTCATTCCAGCTTTATTGTCTGTTCCCCTAACTTCATACTGTCCTGTCGAAAAACCAATTAAAATAACAAAAGGATGTTTGACTCTCTGATCTCTTCAGCCGAGTGTGCACTTATCAGAAAGCAACTGCATTTGACAAAACCTGAGCTTCTGAATGTGTTCCTACCTGTACCGGTAGACACCATGTTGATGAGCGTGTGGACCGACTCCATGAGCTGCTGCTGCTGCCTTTGCAGGGCTGAGTTGTTGGTGCTGGCCACCCTCAGCTGTCTCTGTAGAGCCTCGATGGCTGTCGTCTGGGTCCTCACCAATGCTTGTAGCCTATTCTTCTCCTCCCTCATGTCCTCCAGCTCATCCCGCTGCTGCGACTCCAACACGTGCACCTTATTCTCCAAATGACTGAGAAGATAGTTGAAAAAGTATTTTTCGTGGTATTCCTATCTTGAGAGCATCCTGACTGGTTGCATCACTGCCTGGTATGGCAACTGCTCGGCCTCTGACCGCAAAGCACTACAGAGGGTAGTGCGTACGGCCCAGTACATCACTGGGGCCAAGCTTCCTGCCATCCAGGACCTCTATACCAGGCGGTGTCAGAGGAAGGCCCTCAAAATTGTCAAAGACTCCAGCCACCCTAGTCATAGACTGTTCTCTCTGCTACCGCACGGCAAGCGGTACCGGTGCGCCAAGTCTAGGTCCAAAAAAGGCTTCTTAACAGCTTCTACACCCAAGCCATAAGACTCCTGAACAGCTAATCATGACTACCCAGACTATTTGCATTGACTTGCAACAATATGCTGTGCACTTTGAAAAAGCATTCTACCTCCCTACTGTACCTGCTCTACTTTGATTAATCATTCACCTACAGTGTTGGTGTAAGTAAGCTAGAACCCTTGCTTTACCAGAATAACCACATTTAAGGTGATAACCAGAACGATAGAAGGAAGAATAAGTATTTGAAAAGGCCCCGTAGTCTCTTGACAACCAAGCTAATTAATTGACTTTCACTGCACTGTAAGTAACTCCAGAAAATCACTAACCATCGAGTAGTTAAACCCATGCTGTAGGGTAGTAGCTGAACATAGATGTGGACTCTGGTTGATTAAACACTGAAACAAGCCAAATGTATTTAACCTGATGAGAGGATAGCAAAGTGATCATAGGACTAGGTGAACAGCACTGAAACTTTAGCTCAAAGAGTGGATGAAACAGACAGGTAAAATGTAAGTGTATGTCAGTGGTTTTACAAAGATTTAACCTGCTTCAATTACAACTTTCACAACTGCTGTTGGAGTGAAACCCGACTGACCTTGAATTGTGCTGCTAAAACAATGTATTTACATGGGCAGGCATAATGTAACTATATGCAAAGTTCAGTAAATCTGTTGCACCTTGACATTTATACATAGACATCACATTGACGTTACACATATATGAAAAGATCTCAAACAAGGGTAAGATCCTAGCAGGGTAAATGATGAGTTTGGTTGAAACTGCACACAGATATCATAGTTGTAACAATTTGTACATTCACTGTAATTACACCGTAACAATTTAAAAACGATGTAAATACCAAAAACCATGTAAATAATAGTCATAGCAACACTAAGTGACAAAACCCTTACATTGGCCCAGTGAGATCTGAGTTGAGGCACATAGACTTTAACCCATTGTATCATTATCCTATACAGCATATCGTATATATGTATGATGTCATTCCTTTACTGTAGTGGATGTCAGAGCCAAACTACATTTGTGCTAAATTATCAATTCAACATGATGACCATTGAAAAAGCAACATGAATTGTGAAAATGATGATTATTCCTAATGCAAACTTATGAGCAATGAATTATTTTTATGTTGTGTGGTCCTCTGTAGCTCAGCTGGTAGAGCACGGCGCTTGTAACGCCAAGGTAGTGGGTTCGATCACCGGGACCACCCATACACAAAAATGTATGCACGCATGACTGTAAGTCGCTTTGGATAAAAGCGTCTGCTAAATGGCATATTATATTATTATTATTATTATTATGTTGCTGTGGCCTGCTGCTGTTGATTATGGGCACCAGTTCAGTTGTAATGGTGATCAAGAAGCTGAGAAAGGATCCCCTTATAGAGTCAATTTCCCTATGATGTAGTGGCCCATTATATTTGTCTACGATACCCCATATGGACTGCTGTGTAACAGAAACAGAGTGCAACACAAGATTCAGCTGTGAGCCCCATGTTCTCATATAAGACAAATGACATCAGTCTATCTGTTACATCTAGAACTTTTATGGGAAATCTATCTGTCGCATTTCTCAATGAAAACTGTACAGTTTTGCCAGGGGTTTATTTTTGAGAGTTTTGTTTATATTGTAGTTATAAAGCATTATTTTGATTATTTCTCATTACATTTTACTGCAACGTGCACTGTCCAAGATTCCTCAGTACGGGAATAATGTTGTGGTTTCAAATATGGTTGTTTCTCGCAGCAGCTCGTCTTTTACGAGCGCTTGTATTTCATATAATCATACTTTTAGGTTGTGAAACCTAAGTCGTTTATATTAAGCGCTTGCACTGAAATGTCTTTTCAACAACAAAAAAATTCAGCTCAAAGCTGCAGAAATATGTAACAGCTATTTTAGTTGAGACTGTACCACAAGTCTTAATGAGAAAATATCAAACTTATGCAGATATCAAAATGTTATACTGTACCTGTTCTTGTCTTGCAGTTTAGTGATTTTAGAAGTCTGTACCAATAATTCCTTTTCCAGTTTGTTTGTAGATAATGAGTTCTCCAACAACTTGATCTCAAGTCTTGATGTCTGGTTCATAACCTACACATAATGACAATAAATAGTAACACTTTACTTAGAGTGGTGATATGTAGCATTCATAAAGCCTTTATATGCATGACATTAACAGTAATTGTATTGCATATGTTTTTATACTCTTCATTAATGATTTGATGTAGTCTTATGCAGCTTTGCAAAAAAACAAACATTATGTTGGTCACAGATACCTTAAAAGAAATTGAGTCACTGTATTATTGTGCATTCAAATTGCCATCGATAAAATGCAATTGTGTTCATTGTCCATAGCTTATGCCTGCCCATACCATGACCCCAACACCACCATGTGGCACTCTTTTCACAACGTTGACATCAGAAAACCGGTTGGATGTACTGCCAAATTCTCTAAAACAATGTTGGAGGTGGCTTATGGTAGAGAAATGAACATTCAATTCTCTGGCAACAGCTCTGGTGGACATTCCTGCAGTCAGCATGCCAAATGCACGCTCCCTCAAAACTTGAGACATCTGTGGCATTGTTTTGTGTGACAAAACTGCACATTTGAGAGTGGCCTTTTATTGTCCCCAGCACAAGGTGCACCTGTGTATTGATCATACGGTTTAATCAGCTTCTTGATATGCCACACCTGTCAGGTGGATGGATTATTTTAGCAAAGGAGAAATGCTTACTAACAGGGATGTAAACAAATTTGTGCACAAAAGTTGAGAGAAATACACTCTTTGTGTGTATGGAACATTTCTGGGATCTTTTATTTCAGCTCATGAAACATGGGACCAACACTTTACATGTTGCATTTATATTTTTGTTCAGTGTATATAATTTGAACCAAACAGCAAACATTCAAGACAAATATTGACGTCTATTAGCAACTTAACTTCTCTTAGGATATACAGTTGAAGTCGGAAGTTTACATACACTTAGGTTGGAGTCATTAAAACCCGTTTTTGAACCACTCCACAAATTTCTTGTTAACAAACTATAGTTTTGGCAAGTCGGTTAGGACATGTACTTTGTGCATGACACAAGTAATTTTCCAACAATTGTTTACAGACAGATTATTTCACTTATAATTCACTGTATCACAATTCCAGTGGGTCAGAAGTTTACATACACTAAGTTGACTGTGCCTTTAAACAGCTTGGAAAATTCCAGAAAATGATGTCATGGCTTTAGAAGATTCTGATAGGCTAATTGACATCATTTGAGTCAATTGGAGGTGTACCTGTGGATGTATTTCAAGGCCTACCTTCAAACTCAGTGCCTCTTTGCTTGACATCATGGGAAAATCAAAAGAAATCAGCCAAGACCTCAGAAAAATATTTTGTAGACCTCCACAAGTCTGGTTCATCCTTGGGAGCAATTTCCAAAAGCCTGAAGGTACCACGTTCATCTGTACAAACAATAGTACGCAAGTATAAACACCATGGGACCACGCAGCCGTCATACCGCTCAGGAAAGAGACGCGTTCTGTCTCCTAGAGATGAACGCAGTTTGGTGCGAAAAGTGCAAATCAATCCCAGAACAACAGCAAAGGACCTTGTAAAGATGCTGGAGGAAACAGGTACAAAAGTATCTATATCCACTGTCAAACAAGTCCTATATCGACATAAGAACAGATATAGCCCCTGGTTCTCCTCAGACTTGACTGCCCTTGACCAGCACAAAAACATCCTGTGGCGTACTGGATTAGCATCGAATAGCCCCAGCGATATGCAACTTTTCAGGGAAGTTAGGAACCAATATACACAAGCAGTTAGGAAAGCAAAGGCTAGCTTTTTCAAACAGAAATTTGCATCCTGTAGCACTAACTCCAAAAAGTTTTGGGACACTGTAAAGTCCATGGAGAATAAGAGCACCTCCTCCCAGCTGCCCACTGCACTGAGGCTAGGAAACACTATCACCACCGATAAATCTACAAGAATCGAGAATTTCACAAGCATTTTGCTACGGCTGGTCATGCTTTCCACCTGGCTACCACTACCCCGGCCACCATCTGCACCCTCCGCTGCAACTTGCCCATGCCCCCGCTTTTCCTTCACACAAATTCAGACAGCTGATGTTCTGAAAGAGCTGCTAAATCTGGACCCCTACAAATCATCTGGGCTAGACAATCTGGACCCTTTCTTTCTAAAATTAGCCGCCGAAATTGTCGCAACCCCTATTACTAGCCTGATCAACCTCTCTCTCGTAACGTCTTAGATCCCCAGAGATTGGAAAGCTGCCGTGGTCATCCCCCTCTTCAAAGGGGGTGACACTCTAGATCCAAACTGTTACAGACCTATATCCATCCTGCCCTACCTTTCAAAAGTTTTTGAAAGCCAAGTTAATAAACAGATCACCGACTATTTCGAAACACACCGTACCTTCTCTGCTATGCAATCTGGTTTCCGAGCTGGTCATGGGTGCACCTCAACCACGCTCTAGGTCCTTAACGATATTATAACCGCGATCGATAATAGACAGTACTGTGCAGCCGTCTCCATCGACCTGGCCAAGGCTTTCGACTCTGTCAACCACCGCATTCTTATTGGCAGGCTAAATAGCCTTGGTTTCTCAAATGACTGCCTCGCCTGGTTCACCAACTACTTCTCAGATAGAATTCAATGTGTCAAATCGGAGGGCCTGTTGTCTGGACCTATGGCAGTCTCTATGGGGGTGCCACAGGGTTCAATTCTTGGGCCAACTCTTTTCTCTGTGTATATCAATGATGTCGCTCTTGCTGCTGGTGATTCTCATATCCACCTCTACGCAGACGATACCATTTTGTATACATCTGGCCCTTCATTGGACACTGTGTTAACAAACCTCCAAACGAGCTTCAATGCCATACAACACTCCTTCCATAGCCTCCAACTGCTCTTAAACACAAGTAAAACTAAACGCATGCTCTTCAATCGAATGCTGCTGGCACCCGCCCACCCGACTAGAATCACTACTCTCTACGGATCTGACCTAGAGTATGTGGACAACTACAAATACCTAGGTGTCTGGTTAGACTGTAAACTCTCCTTCCAGACTCACATTAAGCATCTCCAATCTAGAATCAGATTCCTATTTCGCAACAAAGCCTCCTTCACTCATGCTGCCAAACATGCCCTCGTAAAACTGACTATCCTACCGATCCTTGACTTCAGCGATGTCATTTACAAAATAGCCTCCAACACTCTACTCAGCAAATTGGATGTAGTCTATCACAGTGCCATCCGTTTTGTCACCAAAGCCCCATATACTACCCACCACTGTGACCTGTACGCTTTTGTTGGCGGATCTTCACTACATATTTGTCACCAAACCCACTGGCTCCAGGCCATCTATAAATCACTGCTAGGCAAATCCCCACCTTATCGTAGCTCATTGGTCACCATAGCAACACCCACCCATAGTATGCGCTCCAGCAGGTATATCTCACTGGTCATCCCCAAAGCCAACACCTCCTTTGGCCGCCATTCCTTCCAGTTCTCTGCTGCCAATGACTGGAACGAACTGCAAAAATCTCTGAAGCTGGAGAATCTTATCTCCCTCACTAAATTTAAGCATCAGTTGTCAGAGCACCTTACCGATCACTGCACCTGTACACAGCCCATCTGAAATTAGCCCACCCAACTACCTCATCCCCATATTGTTATTTATTTTGCTCATTTGCACCCCAGTATCTCTATTTGCATATCATCTCTTGCACATCTATCATTCCAGTGTTAATAGTAATTGTAATAATTTTGCACTATGGCCTATTTATTGCCTTACCTACATAACTTGCTACATTTGCACACACTGTATATATATTTTCTGTTGTATTTTTGACTTTATGTTTTGTTTTACCCCATATGTAACTCTGTGTTGTTGTTTTTATCGCACTGCTTTGCTTTATCTTGGCCAGGTCGCAGTTGTAAATGAGAACTTGTTCTCAACTGGCTTACCTGGTTAAATAAAGGTGAAATAAATATTTTAAATAAATAAATAACCTGAAACGCCGCTCAGCAAGGCAGAAGCCACTGCTCCAAAACTTCCATAAAAAAGACAGACTACGGTTTGCAACTGCACATGGGGACAAAGATCGTACTTTTTGGAGAAATGTCCTCTGGTCTGATGAAACAAAAATAGAACTGTTTGGCCATAATGACCATCGTTATGTTTGGAGGAAAAAGGGGGTTGCTTGCAAGCCGAAGAACACCATCCCAACCGTGAAGCACTGGGGTGGCAGCATCATGCTGTGGGGGTGCTTTGCTGCAAGAGGGACTGGTGCATTTCACAAAATAGATGGCATCATGAGGAAGGAAAATTATGTGGATATATTAAAGCAACATCTCAAGACATCCGTCAGGAAGTTAAAGCTTGGTCGCAAATGGGTCTTCCAAATGGACAATGACCACAAGCATACTTCCAAAGTTGTGGCAAAATGGCTTAAGGACAACAAAGTCAAGGTATTGGAGTGGCCATCACAAAGCCCTGACCTCAATCCTATAGAACATTTGTGGGCAGAACTGAATTCATCCAACTTATTGTGGGAAGCTTGTGGAAGGATACCCGAAACGTTTGACCCAAGTAAAATTTTTTAAAGGCAATGCTACCAAATACTAATTGAGTGTATGTAAACTTCTGACCCACTGGGAATGTGATGAAATAAATAAATAAATCTTTCTCTCTACTATTATTCTGACATTTCATATTCTTAAAATAAAGTGATGATCCTAACTGACCTAAAACAGGGACTTTTTATTAGGATTAAATGTCAGGAATTGTGAAAAACTGAGTTTGAATGTATTTGGCTAAGGTGTATGTGAACTTCCGACTTCAACTGTATTTTTGTAGAGTATAATTTTTTGCTTCATGAATATCCTTGTTGTTAATTAGTTTTATGGAACATCTAATTTAAGAAGCATCTTTGAGATTATGATAACATATAACTCAGATGTAGCCATTACCTTAGCCTCGACAATGTTTAACTTGCGGGTCTGTTCTGCAGTCTGAGTCAACAGGTTGGTTCCGATCTCCAGCATGGTAGCTGTCTGGTTGTGGACTGCATGGTCTTGGATATGCACCATCTCCATCTTGATGTTCTCCTGGATATAGTTGTCTAGCTGCAGACACAAAAAGACAATGTAGAAATCATTGACAGCTATAATGTTTAACTTCCAGAGCCCCAGGTTTTCGTATTCTAGATTAATTTCAGTTACCTTCCCACCTTGTGCAGTAATTGTTCCATAATTTGGAGTGTAAGTATGGAAACAAATTATGCATAAGTGAGGAAAAGGTTGTGAAAAATGAACATTTACAAATAATTTTTACCTCTCACATACAGTGACAGATGATCTGAAATTTCAACATTTCCAGTCATTGAGTTCAGTCAGAGAGTGCCGCAAATTTCTACATTGCTTTAAATAACCACCATTTTACATTTACATTTTAGTCATTTAGCAGACGCTCTTATCCAGAGCGACTTACAGTTAGTGAGTGCATACATGTTCATACTGCCTGAGCACCCCAGGGTGAGGACATGCTGTTTGTTATAAGAGACATACTGCATTCCTCTTTGTAGTCAGCCTATGACCTGGGCTCTTTGGGAACATGAACTGGTGCCAGCGAAGGTGCAGAGAAGTGACCTCTAAGTCAAACTCAGCACAAATAAATACTCGGTCCCCACGATATCAGAAAACACTGAGAAACAGAGGGAGCAGATACATTTATCTCAACTGTAACAAACACAGGACTCCCTGGGGTATATTTCTGTGGTCAGTAGAACATTAGAGTGATAGTGTTTTAAAGGTTCAAGTTATTCACAGGCATCAGTGTGCCCTTGGTTTTGTTGACAAGACAAAAGCGACCAGAGGAAGTAGATGGAATATGGATAATTTTCCTCGTTAAGGTTCCCTTGACACTCTAATGACTTTTGCAATGGCTAAGAACTCCACCTGATTCAGCCATGGCAGGGACCGGAGGTTTAGTGGGGGGAAATTAATTGACATAAACAAGAAACAAAAAGGTCAAGTTTTTTTGTTGGTTCCCCAAAGACACAGTGTGCTTTGACCGGTTAATTGACCCTTGCTTCCTGCCTTTGGATTAAAATTACACAAGACCTGCCCATAATATGAGCTTGGGAACACAGCTACACTTTCTAAGGGTCTGTTAAACTGCGTTAATGTAAACCAGATGTCTGGTTCTTCCTGATCCTAGTACCTCGGAGTGACTGTGTGACCAAACAGCCCTAATAAAATGGCTGAAGTAGAGGGAACTGGCACTGATAAAGAACTAGGTAACAAGTGCATTGAAGTGTATATGGAACTATAGCAGGGGAGTCATTTCAGCTAAACCTACACTCTAAAAATAAAAGGTTCCAGGAGTATCCTTTAGGGGTTCTTCAAATTGAAACTGTGGGGGAACTCCTATAAGTTCTTCAAAGAACCCTTTAAAAGGGTTCTTCAAAGAACTCCTTTTAATGGATCCTCTAAGAACCATTTGAAGAACCTTTTGGGGTTAATTTTTGAACTACCCCCCTCCTCTCTTATTATTATTAATAATAATAATATTATTAATAATAATAATAATAATAATAATAATAATAATAATAATAATAATAATAATAATAATATGCATAACAGTAAGAACAATAACAAAATATTTTATTTGTCAGTGTTTATTATGATTTTAGTGGCAAAGCAGAATTAAAAAATAGAAATATGAGGTAAACTCCCAGCAGAGCCCCAAGTCCAATGGGCATATCCTCTGGCCTGTTGATGTTATTGTGTTGATGTTCTCCGTATCCATAGCCAGAATAATTTTGCAGTGCATGGTGATGAACATGTTTCCTGTTATATTCATCAGGGGTGTAGGGAGAGTGAAGTCTGTGAATCCAAAAAATTGAACATTATTCATACCTTGGTTTTTGTGGTAAACGTGAATGAAAAAAACTGTTTTAATAATGGTTTTCATACACATACCTTGTCCATAATGTAGAGGCCTATGGGATATTTATTGAAGAGCTAAGGGAGGAGGATGGAAAATATGATCTGCATAACATACCAACACCAACTGACATACCTTTGTATGCCTCCTCGTCTGTATACCTGCAGACACAAAAGTGAGCAGTTCAGTCATCTGCACGCAATACAGCTACCATTCAACATATTCTTATAGCTTACATATTCTTACCTCTTTGTTGATTTGATATCCATTGAATTGTCCATGTTCTGTTTTAGAAAGATTTGCACAAATATGAAAAGATAGATGGTATCATCATAAAACAATATCAACTTAGATCATACAATGGACAAACCTTACCTTAAATTGAGGAGATCTTTACATTTTTCAGTTAAGTGTGTGCACCTGCTGTCCTTTCAAATTCAAATCCAAATGTTTCAGTTGGGCAGTTAGGTTCCTGCAAGAACCCCCACCAACTAAGGAGAATCCTCGATGAACCCCACCTCCTATGGGGTTCTAGGAATAACCTTTTGGGGGCAATTTTCAGTGCCAAGAACCCTAAGGTTCTTTGAAGAACTTTGAGGATCTTAGAAGAACCCTTGTTGCAGTGTGACAGGGAATTTCCCTCCAATGAATTTTTATCAAGCTCATTTCTACAGTCGTGGTCAAAAGTTTTGAGAATGACACAAGTATTGGTCTTCCCAAAGTTTGCTGCTTCAGTGTTTTTAGATATTTTTGTCAGATGTTACTATGGTATACTGAAGTATAATTACAAGCATTCCATAAGTATCAAAGGCTTTTATTGACAATTACATGAAGTTCATGCAAAGAGTCAATATTTGCAGTTGACCCTTCTTTTTCAAGACCTCTGCAATCCGCCCTGGCATGCTGTCAATTAACTTCTGGGCCACATCCTGACTGATGGCAGCCCATTCTTGCATAATCAATGCATGGAGTTTGTCAGAATTTGTGGGTTTTTGTTTGTCAACTCGCCTCTTGAGGATTGACCACAAGTTCTCAATGGGATTAAGGTCTGGGGAGTTTCCTGGCCATGGACCCAAAATGTCGATGTTTTGTTCCCCGAGCCACTTAGTTATCACTTTTGCCTTATGGCAAGGTGCTCCATCATGCTGGAAAAGGCATTGTTCGTCACCAAACTGTTCTTGGATGGTTGGGAGAAGTTGCTCTCGGAGGATGTGTTGGTACCATTCTTTATTCATGGCTGTGTTCTTAGGCAAAACTGTGAGTGAGCCTACTCCCTTGGCTGAGAAGCAACCCCACACATGAATGATCTCAGGATGCTTTACTGTTGGCATGACACAGGACTGATGGTAGCTTTCACCTTGTCTTTTCCGGACAAGCTTTTTTCCGGATGCCCAAAAAATTTCGGAAAGGGGATTCATCAGAGAAAATGACTTTACCCCAGTCCTCAGCAGTCCAATCCCTGTACCTTTTGCAGAATATCAGTCTGTCCCTGATGTTTTTCCTGGAGAGAAGTGGCTTCCTCGCTGCCCTTCTTGACACCAGGCCATCCTCCAAAAGTCTTTGCCTCACTGTGCGTGCAAATGCACTCACACCTGCCTGCTGCCAGTCCTGAGCAAGCTCTGCACTGGTGGTGCCCCGATCCCGCAGCCAAATCAACTTTAGGAGACGGTCCTGGCGCTTGCTGGACTTTCTTGGGCGCCCTGAAGCCTTCTTCACAACAATTGAACCTCTCTCCTTGAAGTTCTTGATGATCCGATAAATGGTTGATTTAGGTGCAATCTTACTTGCAGCAATATTCTTGCCTGTGAAGCACTTTTTGTGCAAAGCAATGATGACGGCACATGTTTCCTTGCAGGTAACCATGGTTAACAGATTAAGAACAATGATTTCAAGTACCACCCTCCTTTTAAAGCTTCCAGTCTGTTATTCTAACTCAATCAGCATGACAGAGTGATCTCCAGCCTTGTCCTCGTCAACACTCTCACCTGTGTTAATGAGAGAATCACTGACATGATGTCAGCTGGTCCTTTTCTGGCAGGGCTGAAATGCAGTGGAAATGTTTTTTGGGGATTAAGTTCATTTTCATGGCAAAGAGGGACTTTGCAATTAATTGCAATTCATCTGATCACTCTTCATAACATTCTGGAGTATATGCAAATTGCCATCATAAAAACTGAGGCAGCAGACGTTTTTGAAAATTAATATTTGTGTCATTCTTAAAACTTTTGACCACGACTGTACACAATTTAAAAACTTGGAATTTGAAGAACAGCAAAAACAAGCTAAATTTACTCCAGCCATTATTACCTTGTTGATGTAGCTTCAGTCACCTCAGTCAGTAGGGAACTTAACATTCTACAAACATGTCATTCAAGAATTAGCTGCTACGCACTAGCTCAGCACCGGGATTAGTTTAATGTCAAGTCAAACAGCAGTTACCTAGCCAAAGCCATCTACTACAGCCATCTCTGCTCTGTTTGAGAAATAATTGCGCTGTTTCCTGCAGCTGCATCGATGCGCTCTCAATAAAGCCAGCCGTACAAACAGCCTTCCCTCCCGCTCCCAGGCGTCCGCATGGTCCCAAAGTCAGTCCGTCTAACACCGCTAAACTGCATTTGCCTTTTTATCAGGATTGGAATGATTTTAGTAGCCTATTGAACATTGTTGGTGTTGAGCTAGGGTATGGCGACTGCCATACCCAATTGACACCCCTGAATTATAGTCTATTTTATTAGCACTTACTTCAACCTTCAAGCTGTTATGAAGGCTGGTATCACAAACCTATAAGTCTCCATCCCAGCATTCGTGAGACATTACAGGACACTCATACACAGTCATACCAAATGGTCTCATTGCATGACAAGTGAACACATCAAGATGATCACACAAAGAATGCACACTTTAGTTGAAAATCACTGCGAGTAAGTGAGTGGTTAGTGAGTGGTTAGGGGTGGGTTAGGGATTAGTTAGTGATTTAGGGTAAAGCATGGAAACTAGTTAAGGTTAGGATTAGAGATAGGCCTAGATAAAATTTTTGATAAAACAACAGGCATGGATTCATACCACTGTCATGCACACCTGGGTTCAAATAATGAGTGTTTGCTCGAGCATGTCTGGGGTGCCAGATGGGTGGGTTTGTACTTTTTGGACTATTCAATTGGTTCCATCGCACAAGGCAAACTCAATC